CACTCCACTATTTGAAAACGCTTCCAAACCACACAATGTCTTCAACTTTCAAACCACAGAATGTCTTCAGCATTGCAAATAAGTTACTGTGCCAACATATTTCTGCCACCCTGTCGAGCCACATTATTAGATGAGTTCCCTTAATGCACATTATTTTTAAGGCTCTGGATTCACTTGGTCCTTGGTCGGGAACATTATACTTTTAATACGTGGTTAACACAAAAACCCGGGATCTTATTTCATACCTGCATTCAGGTGATCAACATGAGTTTGTTTGGTCATTTGCTGTGAGCTAAAGGGCAAGGTGTAGTGCAGAAAGTGAAGACAATTAAGAAATGGTTTCAATCCTCAAACTGCACAAAGTCTAGGATAGGAAACAGACACATAATGACAAGTATGAAACAAGCTGATTAAGAGTAGAAGCAAGACCAGTGCGAAGTGCTATAGCAATAGAGGGGTTAGCAACGGACGGGTGGGTCCTAGAAAGACTTGAAAAGGTGAAATTGAAACTGAGAATCGAAGGCAACATTTGAGCTGTTCAGAGAAAAGGGATTAAGACTTCCATGGCAGAGAGTACAACAGTATAATAAAAACTTAAAAGAGTAAAGTATGTAAGACTATCAATGATGATTTCTATGGCAATGATGTTTTCCAACCTGCACTATACTGGGAAGTGGTTGGAGATGACAGGGAAGGCAGGATGAGTCCTTACTCTGCTGGACCTGTTGTCAAACTAGAGGGCTGAACTTCATTCCATGAGGAAATAGAAGTCATTGAAGGCTTTTTTTTTTTTTTTTTTTTACTTTTTAGCAGGAAACTACATTCATGATTATAAGTTTACTTTTAAAAGATCATTCTAATTGCCATAGTAAGTGAAATGCTATTTTCTGTTGGCTCCACCACTCTTTGTTTTGAATTCTGCCCCTTCCTTGTAATTCTGGGGAGCCTAGCAAACAAGGATCTCTACCTCCCCGCCATGTGGTAGGGCCCTGGTCCAAGAATAGACCCTGCCAGGAAGAGAGCTTACCAAGGGCATTGTGGGTGGGTGACATGCATGCTAGGAGAGAAGAGCATCATGCTTTTGTTTTTCCTCTGGGATTTCTGGCTAAAAGCCTCACATGCATACGCCTGTGACCTTGGCCATCTTTGTCACTATGTGGATAGAACCTGTCCCAAGAAAGGCAATGGTGTTAAGGGCAGAGCTGAGAGATGGTGAGAGACGTAATCCTGCTGGCATTATTTCAATCCATATATCTAGCTATGTTTGAAGGCAACTCTCTTCTCCAGTTCTTTGATTCAGTAAAATCATTTTGTTTGTTTTATTAGCATAGTTTGAATTTAGTTTCTGTGTTTGTAGTTGAAATGTTCCCACAAATATAGGGAGTAGAAGACATTATAGTGGAAGCAGAGAGATACACTAAGGGAAATTGAAATTATCTGGATGAGTGATAATAAGGGCCTGAACTAAGTGCAACTAAGGAAGAGTGGATATATCCAAATGTATGAATCCTGAATGAACAAGTGACTTACTAGACGTGTGAGAGAGGAAGGGGAGAAAGAGAATTAAGAGTGAAAAAATGTTATCTATAAAACACTGCCATAGCTGGTTTGGCTCACTGGATAGGGCGTCGGCCTGAGGACTGAGGAGTCCCGGGTTTGATCCCGGTCAAGGGCATGTACCGTGGTTGCGGGCACATCCCCAGTAGGGGGTGTGCAGGAGGCAGCTGATCAATGCTTCTCTCTCATCGATGTTTCTAACTCCCCCTCTCCCTGTAAAAAATCAATAGAATATATTTAAAAACAAACAAACAAACCACTCTCCACCACAATATCTAGGCTAGTGAAAGGGTGCACTCTTAAAAAAATGAATGAAGCAGGATATGTTTTAGCTCTCCTTGGGGCTCCATCCAAGAAAATCTTTATGGTTTACTGCACCCTGGTGAATAGCCAATGGAAAGAAACAGGCTCGTGTGCATCTCCTCTCTGCTAGTCTAGGAGTCGGGTTCCAAACTTGGTGTAATTACCTAACGTAGCACTTGGTGTTCCTTCATCTAAAAGCTGAGCGCTGTCAGATGTGACATGCAGCTAAGCCGAGTGCCCACACAAGGATGAGAATGGCTCACTGTGCTCTGCTTCTGTGCCTACCACTGCTTTGAATGGGATAGAAACTTAAACCGTCATCTTTGAAGCTGGTCTTTGCGGGTTGCTCCAAACAGAGCAGTAATTCAATCTCCAGTTCCCAGAGGTATACGTGATAGTGGCTTCAGAGAGACGATGCCACAACTGTGCCAGAATGCAGCTAAAAAAGGACACCACTGCCTCTATTCAAGAGTCCAAGATTAATCTTGTGATTTTTTTCCCAATATAATGAAAAAAAAGCTAAGCAGGAGTTTAAAATAGATGTCGGTTCTTAAAAAGAAGTCAAGTTATGCAGCATCTAGTATAAATCCATAACCTATAAAGAGCCCGCTGAAATCTGCATATAAAATACCCAAACTTCAGTATAGAGAGAATAAGCAGGCGAACCACTCATAAAGAGACATCACAATAAGCAGACTCAGGAAAACCTTAGCTTTGTGGGCAATTAAATCAATGTTTATTAAAACTAAGCCAAAGTATCATTTGATTATTAAAAACTGGAGACAGGAAATGAAAATGTTACAGTGAAATCATCACTTTGGAATTGAGTACGGCAATATTAATTTATAATTTTTATTTTTTCTTTATTTTTTCCTTTTTTCCATTACAGAAATTGAAAACCATAAAACATCCTCACTCTTACTCAGTATTCTTGCTCCCAGGGTTATGTCCTGTGGCTGTTATTCAGCAAAAGAAAAAGTCTGTGCAGACAATGTTCATTATAGCATTCTCTGTAATATCAACTGTACTGGGGGGGAAATTTGACCGATAATAGGGAATGCATAAATGAAAATGCTGCAAAATTATATATAGGCATAAACACTACAGTTATGAAATAGTGTGGAAATATGGAAAATAAGATAACTTTTAAAATAGAGAAGCAGTATAAAAATCACATATATCATGTGAACAAACGTATACATTTGGACAAAGAGTTGACTCAAAGAAAGCAGAAACAAAGTAATGCATGTATTGAAACTTAATTTATGAATGATATTAAAAGGACAAAAGAAGACCTATTCAAAAAATAATGCTGAATGGCACATAGATAAAAATCAATTCCACGTAGATAAAAAAACTTTAATGTTGGAAGTAAAACTGTCAAATTTTCAGAAGATATCCTAGGAGAACATTTTTTTGGCTTTAGGACAAAGAATAACTACTTAAACAACACATTAAAAGCATTTACCATAAAAAGAAAAGTGGTACAATTGGCCTCATGAAAATTAGAAGCTTCTGTTCACCAAAGAAAACCTAAAAAGAGAAAAAATACAAGCCACTCATTGGGAGAGATATTTGTAACACATATAGCTGACAAAGGACTAGTATACAGACTACAACAAGCATTGAAAATTGAGAAAAAGTCATGAATATACACTTTGTAAATGAAGAAATATAACAACCCATTAAACAAATGAAAAGATTCTTAAACTCATTAGTAATCAAGCATTAATATTAATTTTAAATTAAAACTACACTGAGTTATTTCATACTAAGGTTGCTATATGTAGCTGCAAGAATCGGCTCCATGGAGCGACATTGTTATGCACTTTTGGGCGTCCCCTTCCCAAAGCTGTATGCATTGGTCCTGTTTCACCACCACCAAACTGGCAAAATCTCAAAAGTTTGCCATATTGGCAAAATGTGAAACAATGAGTCACCGCTTACTAAAGTGTAAATTAGTTCAACCACTTGGAGAACATGTGATAATTATCTAGAACTATTAATAGCAGGTTTAGAAGAAAATGAGTAAGAATGTTGACTGGTGATGAACACAAAAAAACCATATGGCTGCTAAGCCTAAAATATTTATACTCTCACCCTTACAGAAAGTTTGCTGACCTTTGAATTAAGACATTTGGAAAAGTTAAAAAAAAATTAGAGTGATCGGTAAAATTTTAAAAATATATATTTTATGGAATAATTAAAATATTCGTGATCACTCTCATGAAGAGAAATTACAAAATTTATGGATATTACGTTGGAGCTAAACTAAAAGATAACAAGGTCCAGAGCATGTCCATGCCAGCAGGCTGCCAAACTGACAAGTTGTGACTAAATATAGCAGATCCTGATATCTAGTAAGCTGAGTGGAAAATCTGGAACAGGAGACCAAATAGTTCATGTGAAATGACAAATTCCTATGCCATATCAATATAGATATCATTAATCCAATTTACTAGTAGAAGAACAAAAAATAAACGGTGAGAGGTTGAGTTTTGCTACTAGAGTCTCTGGGTATGCTTTTATGACTCCTACAGTTATGGCAAATAATCTACAACAGTATCCAGTCACAGGCCTGGTATATTTGTCAGGGTAGACTTAACTATTGTAAGTGATTTCCAGTAATCCAGCAGGTGGCGGGCCAGACAAAGCAGTCCATGTCTCTCTCCCATAAAGGTCTCTATGAGCTCACCTTAGGTTTTCAGGGAGGCCTTCTCCTTGAGGTCCTTCTGAGACCAGATTCCTTCTAAGTCATTACCATGACATGCCTTAGGCACTGTCACTGTTTGTATGGACAGAACTGAATTTCCATCTCATCCAGCTTTTTTTTTTTTTTTTTTTTTAAAACCAAACACACTTCCATTTAGTGCCAGGCATTTAAGCAGGAACCTGAAGTGGAACCCATTGACTCATAGTATTAAACACAAAGTAAAGCAATGATCTTAGCTCGGGCTGTCTGGTTTGGTGATCTGGCAGAATGTCACACACAAGCTCAGTCACTACAATGTTTTTTGGCTGCGGAACACTGGCTGTCACTTCTAGCATAGCAGAATCATGTTGGGGGAATGGAA